CAGTGAAGGGAGCGGAGGAGTGGTGTAGCACTGGTTCCTTTGACAAAAAGCCAATGTGGGATTATGAAAGAAAGTCATTGTTGACGTTTAAATCAGGAAAAATTCATTGGTGTTATACCCTTTACTGTATGTCACTCTATGAGCCTTGTGCACCGCTGAGTCCTTTCTCAATCTGGTGTAGGTTCAATTCATCCGCCCACTCGCTCTCTTCGCATATTATAAATTATATATTTTTTTCCTTCTGAAAACCAATATGGACTTGACTAAACAGCATACAATATATCAAATCTTCATCATGGCATAATGAATGGCACGCATCAATTTTCAATGTGAATCCAAGAGCCATCTGATGTTGCTAAAAGACACTCAATTGAGTTAAGGTAGATGGCATGCTTGCTGTGGTGATACTGTACTTTTTTGAGACCGTGCTGGATTTACAATCAAAAGTGACAAAGGAGAGCAGGCAAACAAGTCTGATGATTTATAGTCAGGGATTTAGAGTGTCTCTTTCAGCAGGATGAATGAGGACAGACATGATGAATGACAAAAAGGCTCTCCTCACATGTGCAAACATTTTCCAGGGGCCAAATGAACTGTCAGTTTAGTATGTAAAGCGTCAAAAAAATGCTTTTCACGTAAAGTCAGGACCCTGGAGACCGAGGTAGTGTGTGTGTTCGGATTTGCATGTGCATGTGGATGTGGATGTGCATGCATGTGTGACTGGAGAGGGAGAGCATGGCTGTTTTGAACAGCTTATATGTGTGTAAGCACCTGCATGAGCCATGACTTACCATGCAAATAAAGGGCCTTATTAAAAAACATGATGCTTCCCTCGATTTGAATTCAACCAAGGCCATGATTTGATTAAATGTATGCTGAAGGCGGATAATCCTTTGACCTGATTGGCTGAAAACAATGCTTGCAATCTGAAGGTAGGGTTGGCAAGGTAACCTGAGGGGATGGTAGGAAGGGGGGGAAGTTGAGGGTGAAAGATGGTATCATCTTATATTCTCTACAGATTGAAAGCAAAATGTGAAACTGAATGTCATCAACATCTCCTGGATGGATTGGCTTGTTTAAAAAATATATATCTTCTTCTGTATTTTTAAAACAACAATTTAAATGTCTCTTGCACTATAGTGTTGTAATTTAATATGAATCTCCCCAAAATAATTTGGTGTTACAATGTTACAAAAAATTGTCTTGAAACGCTGCATGGTCCTTTATCAGATTGTTGTCACTCAGCCATGTCATAATAACTGATACCTATACATTCAGTGGATGAAGTAATTATCAATTACTTCTGTACTTTTTATATATTCAACGCCTTTTAGTCCATAAATTCAGTGTTATTCTTTTACTTCTAATTATATAAATACAGGAGGGCTCTTAACCCAGTAAGTGGCATATATTACCCATCAGTCTCTCTTCATTCAAAATGCTGATATTTTGTGGTATATCGAAATACAGCATCACGTCAGGTCCCTTTCCATTGCATGTGTGCACGTTTATGACTATGGCAGTTAATAATAATACAAAATAAGATGCTAGTACCTTTAAAATGTCCTTAGACCTGTAATACATGGCTACATGTTAAGGCCTCATGTAGAAATTGTTAGAAGACATTTATCTTAATGTCATATCTGTTTCAAATGTGTATTACAGTTATATTGAGCATCATTATGTCAAAGACACAGGAACAATATTACTCACAAAAACAAATGAATCCACTACACTACAAATGTGTCTTTGTCATGAAAAGCTACTAAATAGACTGAGTTAAGATTTTTTTCTTGAGTAAATACATGAATGGTTGTGGTGTTTGAAGGTTTTGCCATTGAACCAGAGAAGAACCAGTGAAAAGACACTGAAGAGTTGCATAGTGTAAAATGCCTTATACAATGTATAATGAGCTGCTTGAATTGAGGAGTTGTGGCTGTGACCATTGATCTTCTGAATGTTTGATTATTATGTTCCTGTTGATCTACAACTTCTACGAAAGGCACATATTTTCAGTTGCATTTATATTTTGATATAGATTCTGCAACCCTCTTACTATTTGGTTATCCTTGAATATCTACACCCACACACACACACACACACACACACACACACACACACACACACACACACACACACACACACACACACGCACGCACGCACGCACGCACGCACGCACGCACGCACGCACACACACACATCATTAGTTATCGCTGCTCTTCAAGAACAGCTCTGGGGAATGCCTAAGGGGAAGCTCTTTTATGCTCTAAGCCATCAATTGACCAATCAAGGCTTGCCAAAGTAAAGTGACTTGGTGATTGTTGCCACAGGGACAGAGGGAATACACAAGAGCTGTTTTCAATTACAGTACTTTTACTATTAAACTAGATGAACAATTCATCCTCTTGTCAAAACACGTTGGGGCCTGGTAAGAAATTGAAGTCGGCCAGAACACAACCATTACAATGATTATGAAAATAGGTAGAGATTGGTCTGAATCACCGTCATTTTCTCTGTTGCCCCCCCCCCCCTCTCATCATTGACTTACATTTGGAACCTTGGAGACTCAAAAGCAAAATGATAAAACAAGAGAGGAGGAGGAAATATATTTCACACCCATCAATCTGGACACCACTCATAAATGTCAGCCTGTGGGAAATGGAATGGCACCATTTGTCTATGTTTATTAGGCTGGGATGAACTCTGTCTCATTGACCTTTCAAAGTACATATCCAGAGCAAGTTAATTGAGGATAAGCCAAACGTATACGCCTGGAAGAGCCTGAGTGCTGTAGGATCCCTGCAGACTCATTGCCTCGATTAAAACATTTTTTCAAAGAAATGTCGATAGGGAAGTTCATCAAAAGAAAGGCCAGAGTCCATTGGAAGACTGTCAATTTATTTTATCACTCAAATGGCCAGTCTTAAATGCCAAACTAGAATCTCAAAAGTCATTAAATTGTAGTACCTTGTCCTCAAATGTGACTTTGGCGAGTTTGTTTGACTGCATCAAGTTAACAAACTGAAAATAACACAAACTTTTGCTAAATAAATGTATCCTTGATGTTTCTTGTGTTAATTGTTATAACCAAATTACCAAAATAATAACCAAATCATCCCCCCAAAAAAGTATGTTCTGTTTAATTGATCTTGAGTTGGCGTGAACTTCTGATGAGCACCCTACATATGGTGGCAGGAACTAAAAATGGTGGACAATATCCCTATAATTCCAAGAGCTACAAAGGCAGCAAGGCAGTTGGGAGGTCATTAAGCAGCCTGACCGCAAAGGATCATCTAGGAATCAATGGAAACATCAACAAGCTACGCTAACCAGCTTAACAGTGAAAGAGAGTTAACCATTGCTATGGGAAAACGCCTAGTCAGAGGCTTTAATTTTTTTTTAAATAAACACACACTCACTGGCACGCACAATAACAGTTTTATTGAAGATTATTTTTCCTCTATCAAAAAGTTGGGAGAACTCCAATTTCTGTTCAACTTTAAAGTGGCTATGTCAAACCAACACTTTGCATTCTGATAATGCAAATATACAAGATTTCTTTATACACATTTTTACTTTTAAGTTATTGCTACCATTTGGTCCCCCCAATGTGTAAAGCTGCTGGGGGTTGCTTTAAAAATCTCTCTTGACTATGTTGATAATACAATACATTGAATGTTACCTACAAATGTGCAATGTTCGTAATAGTCACCAACCAATTTTTAGGGGAACTCCAGATACTAAATGATGGCAACATTGGATGTTTTACGGTCTGATTGTTTTTCCTTTTCATGTTGTTCCTTTTTGCCTGCAGCCACTGCCAGTAAAACAGCAATGTGTTATTGACAAAAAAGGCTCTGATTGTAAGTGATGTCCCCACCAGACACTACCACTGACATCCCCTGGCGTCTGTCAATATCCTTCACAAAGACTGCTCTTGTTTACATTGTGTAGCTGCTCTCACTTGACCTGGCCCTGAGGAAAAATAATTATTATATTCCTACGAGAATTATTTCAGTGTCACAGAAAAATGCATAATAATAATAATAACTGATAGTAACTAATGTGAGGTTGTGGTATTTTTGTCTTAGCTGACATCCCTGTTCAATCGCACTGGAATTGAATGGTCTTTATTTCGATAAGCTTCCTGAAATGTACTTTGGAGCCACTTAAACAGAAGAACAAAGCATTGGCACACTTAATGGCTTAAAAGTAGCATACTCAATTTAATTGTGAATCAGCCAAGTTGTGTTTCCAATCACAAATAAACAAGACATTGCAGACATTCATGAACAAAACTCCCCATGAATATTTTAGTCATGGCTTCGTGTGACTGAATTAAGCACCAAGCTGTCCCACCACTGGCTCTGTGCTAACAGTCTAAAAATGTCCTTGTACTTTTAAATGTCATCATACAAAGTGGGAGTTATTGTGGTTCTCAAAGTGGATACCTCCATGGTTCAATAATTGAATGTTAGCAAACAATACTTAATATTTAAAACAAATTTAATAAATATATTTATATTTACAGTATATAATGGTTGGTTCAAACAAAGGACTATAGGCTACGCTATGTTTCAGTCTGAACGCTTTGATTTGCCTGCGCAGCACAATGTAAACAGACAATAACAATGGCTCGTGACCCTGGACCACCATGTGATGTAATGGAAGTCTGGAGCGAAAGTGCACGTCTATTTATGGGGCCGCTGACATGTAAAACGTTTTAAAAGTCTTGATCTTTCATCAAAGCCCGGTGCCTGACAAATTCCACCGTGCGCAGCTGGACCACCTGGATGCGTAAAAACCACACAGTGGCTCATTCGCTATGCCAGGCAGCGTGTGTCTACATCAGCTTCTGCAAGAACAATAACTTGTTCTGGTGATGTGTGATGTTGCTGGAGTGATGGAGGGTGGAAGGTGACAAAGAGAGGTGTGATAAGGATGGTGCATGCACCAGCAGATCGTGGCGGGACGGGACGATTAAGGGATAGGATACTCACGCTGCTGTTCTCTCCTGTCCAGTGGACCATCGCCTGGTTGTGGGTCGCATCCCCTTTAAGCACGAACGAGCTGCTGAGCAGGGACATTTGTTTTTCCCGGGACAGTGCTCGCCTGAAGCGGAGTGAGCCTTCCCCTCCGACGGCTTCCTCGTCACCTTCCGTCGGTAAGCCCGGCGGGGAGCCTCCGTCTCCGCCGCCCATGTCAAACGTACGGTCCTCCCCGCCGCGCCGGTTTATAGCCCCGCTGTCACAGCGCACGGGTCCCGGCAGTGCCATCCAGGCCGAGGCGACCAACAGAAACACGCAGAGGTGCGCGGCAGAGGAGAGCGGTTCTTCGGAGCGCAAAGATGCCATGTTTTGCGCTGCAGTCGCGCTTAGTATCGCGGAAACTGATGGAGAGACCTCTGATGCTTGTGGAAGATAGATAGGTGTATACTGTAAGCCGAGAGAGAAAGAGAGTGATGGGGGAGGGAAGGAGGGAGGAGAACTAGAGAGAAGGCAGACAGTGGAACAACGTGGACGCGTCTCTGTGTGTGGGCCACAGAAAGGCACAGGGGTGCCATCTGCTGTCCTATAGCTGCATCACCCAGCGACTGATCTCAATCCACCTTCATTCAAGTGTCCCCACATAAGGAATTTACACCATATACTGTATATGACATATGTCCTATTTCAAGTGGTGTGTTTTTTATATATGGGCCTATTAAGAAGTGGGCATCCAGCTTTCTCAGTGGTTTTGGCATAAAGACAAGCATTATTATGAACATTAACCTTTTTTGTTGCTTTCTATCCTCACTTTATCCAACAATCTTTATGATCAAATTGCCCTCCATCAGCATGCTCATTTTGGAAAATAGTTTAAGTGAACTGCCACAACCTACATGAATATTCCACAAGTTTCCGTATAGCTGGTGGAAGAACAGATGATTATTTTATATTAAGGATCTATTCTACTTGTTTCAAGTAACTAACATGTAATTGAAAATAAGTTTCTAAAACAATGCAACTCATGTGTCATGTGTTGGAGAATGTGGAGCAGACAGACATCAAAGAGGGTAATATCCCACCGAGTACAGGATGAATTATTCAGTATTGTTGTGTGTCCAAGGGTGTAACTTTGGTTTGAGAAGTGGGGGGGACACAAAACAGGGGGTCCTCCGCAATGAAACATTTTCTCGATTTAATTCCATTTCCTGCCTTTCTACAAATATATTAGGGACTATAGTGTTAACAAATCCAAGACAAATGTGTAGTGTATATAATGAGTGTGCACACTTATCTAGTATCCTATCCATGTGAACATGTTTTACGACAGGAGAGAGCTCTCCCTCTCCTTATTGTTGAAACAGCTTCTAATCTCCGTTAGCTCCGGGCTAGCACCAGATGCTAACAACAACCCAGTAACTCTCTCAGTCTCTCTCTCAGTCTCTCTCTCTGTCTCTCTGTCTCTCTCTCTATATATATTTGTCTGTCTCTCTCTCACTCTCTCAAAGTCCGACAGGAAAGAGCTCTCCCTCTCCTTATTGTTGAAACAGCTACTAATCTCCGTTAGCTCCGGGCTAGCAACAGATGCTAACAACAACCCACGTAACTCTCTCTGTCTCTCTCTCTCTCTCTCTATATGTGTCTGTCTCTCTCTCAGTCTCTCAAAGTCCGACAGGAAAGAGCTCTCCCTCTCCTTATTGTTGAAACAGCTACTAATCTCCGTTAGCTCCGAGCTAGCACCAAATGCTAACAACAACCCCCTCTCTCTCTCTTTCTATCTCTCTCTCACAAGATGCGCTCCTGCCACACACACACAGACGCTCCTCCTTGACGATGACCGCTTGCGTAAAAAAATAATAATAAACACATTTAAAAAGTGGGGGGGACACAAATGGGATTTTGAAAAGTGGGGGGGACATGTCCCCCCTGTCCCCAGTGGAAATTACGCCCATGTGTGTGTCCATCCAGACTAGGATAGTGTTTAAAATGTTCTTACTTGTCTAGTTTGAGTCCCCAACAACATTAGGAAACAACGCTGCATACCAAGGAGAGTCTGAAGAGTCTTGAGTTATAAAGTCCACATTCTTATTTTTGAGTAGGTGGGACCTAAGAAATGTGGTTCCCAACATAATTAGTTTGTCCACTCATCTATCCAATTAGAGACAGTTGGCCTTCAGTTCTTTCTGGGTTTGTTTTTGTTTTCCAATATAATATATAATACAATAATATTAGCTCCATATGCGGTCAGATAAAGCAGTTGGAAACATTCCTCAAAAAGATACTGCCGAAACTTGCATGATTTCAGTCTGAGTCCACTCTTCTTGCTCAGTCACAGCCCAAGCATTTTACCAGTTTATGTCCGGGCAATTCTCGGTCAGAGATAGTTATTGTTGTGGGACACCTGGAACACATCCTTCTCGGGGTGTAGATGACCCCGAGCCATAAGCGACAACAAATGTGATTCAGTATCCTCAGCTGTTTAGTCTATCTATTGAAGAATGTTGATTATTACACTCTGAACTTAAAACCTCGAGCTACAGGAGGGTTCTTCAGAATTGATTGTGGCATCTCCATCATGTGGTCAGACCGTGGCCCGTGACATGTCTTGTGAATTCTCCGGCCGAAGCTCCAAATAAACCGTCAGTGTTTGCCATCAAAGCTCCAGCTCTTGCTTCAGAAGTATCCCCGACAACAACCGGTAGAGTTAGCTTCGTTTTTGAACATTCAAGTGTTAAGAATGGCAGAACAGGAGCAGTTTGCTTGGGGCAGAAGGGGTCAACCCCAGCAATATTGTACTGTAAGTCCAGCAGACACAATCAAAGAACTACAGCTTTGGGGGTGCAAGGAAGAGGACAAAAATCAAGGATATTAAGATTTCAAACTATTTCTTATTATTACTTTTTCTTTGCTTATTTAGTCATTTCAGAAAATGATTTAACAGACTGTAAATAATGCAAGTGTAGTGCAACATGCAATGTTGAATAATTCAGCCAACATCAATAATGTATCAAAATGAAACTTGTACCTACATGTGATGCCTACAGAACTCACAGATCAGAACACAGCCTATTTATTTAGCTGATCTGGCAGAACTTCAAAAAAACTTGTGGTGTTGAACATAGGTCTATTTTCTGCCTTAAATCGAAAAAATATATAAATGTGCAAGTAAAAGGCAGATGATGGCAGAGCGTGCACCATTCATGACCTCTATTGCCAGTATACTGCCTGTAATTGCACCTACTAAACTGGAGCTTGCATTTAAATATTTTATACCACAGCGGAAGTGTCTGTGTGTGTCTTTTTGTGTGTGTATTGCAAATTGGAGCCTGCAAAAATGTACGTCGTAAGATAACTATAGGTATGTGGTAGGTAACTACCTAAAGGTACTCCAATTGTTTTTAATTAAAAGTGATGAAAGTGAAACAAAAATAAGAATTGCTCCTATAAATTCTGTAATTGCAATCATTTTGAGCAAATTATATTGAAGTTAAACTGCAGATCCTCCCAGGCACATGTAAGAACATTGTACAAATCATAAAGATATAAGTGAATGAATGAAAGGAATCAGTCAATAAGCTGATCAATCAGTTTATCAGGTTGAGCCATCATGGTATCATCTAATAAAATCACAACTGGCACCACTAAAGAGGCCAGAGACAGCTGTTCACAGTCAAAGTATTTTGCAGTTCTCCTGCGGCTCTGTAAAACTAACGCACATTAATCTTCATAACATCCAATTATCCGTGAACATTTCATGACGAACAAAGTACGTTCCGCAGCCGCTCAGCAGCATGCTAACAAGCTGAACTCCCACAGTCCAAGGATGCCCCCCCCCCCCCCCCCCCCCGAGCTGTCTCTATGCTCAGATGTTGCAAGATATGCTTTATTCATCCAAACTTTTCATCTGCGATCACACACAAACAGGAATATGCCACCAGCAACCGAATGAAATATTTACTGAATTTAGTTTGCTATGAGGTCACGATGTGAAGATGTAGCTCTCTCTCAGAAGTTTACAAATATAATTCTCACATAATATCTCACTTGCATAAAGCAGTTGGAGAAGACCAAAACAGTAGCGTTGTAAAAACAAGAGCTGAAAGCCAACATGATGTGTTAAACGGATCTGCAGGGTCAAGTGATGATTCTACGTAGGTTTTTACTTTACGTGAAGTGCATTTTAAATACAATTTAAAAGCCATGACAATATCTAAGCCCTTTATGGTGAAGCATAAACTCAACACACCTTGATCCACACGGCGTACACAGTTTAATGGGATGTTCCACTCTAATAATGAGGCAGCCAATGATCGACCTCACTGAACTCCTGGGGGGTAATTACCTTGGTTCAGAATCCTTAACCACAGTTTGAAATGCTAACACACAAAAACACACACACACTTGAACCACACACAGACACCCCCGCTCACGCCCCAAGTATTTAATATCTACTCTTGCATGGTCATAAAGGTGTGACCATCCATTAGAGGCCCCACAGGAGCTGCTCCTCTTCCCTCCCCCATTCAGACAAGTCCCTGTGCTGCAACAGTCATGCCCTGTCATCTCACATTAACAATGGCAAGGTTGATATCTCACCCTATCTGCTGGGTACACATTCGGCCAAAACGAACGAGGATCTTTAAACGCCTCAGAGTCATTTGGTGTCACTAGTGCATGAACAACACTAATGTCGGCTTGGCACGCTTGTACAAATATATAAGTATTGTAATGTTCATTATTCCATGCATATATGTACAACAATCAGTGGTGACTGGTCATTAAGGGCAGGCACAGCCCCCACCTAGTGTCAGCAGAAAGTATTACAAATAATGATTACAAAAAATGCAACAAAAAAAAAATATATAAAATATATTTTAAGATCATGTTTAATCATCTGATTCGTCTGTACATTGCTGTTTTAGTCTGTGTTCTTCTAATTAGTGTCTACAGTGAGTGCCTATTGAGCTGTTTAGAGCCATGTGGGACAAAACCTGATCATGCCCCTCCCTCTCACTGTCTAAGTGAATGGTGACTGTAAAAACTACACTGCGCATGCTCAGAGTATTTTCCTATTTAATGTGTGTGGCAAAAAAATAATGACCATAGGCATAGGGGCACTGAGCTGCCATCCCATGGATGTATAATAAGAACTGGATACAGTGTGGGAGGCGGGGCCTCATTCATTCCTATGAGAGTTGCTCATTCGCGCATGATGATAAAATGGCCCAACTTTTGAGAGAGCGAAACGTCACAGATTACCCGGCATGCCTGAGAAGTACCCGTATGTGCGCTCATAGCGCATGCGCAACTTTAACTATGCCCCCCAAAATGCTTGTTCACATCAAGCACGTCAATTTGCGTACACATAACAGCACCGCACGTTCATGACAGCATGGTAATGGATTGTTATTATGATAGATTTGATATTAACGAGGCGGCAGTTAGCAGCTAGCGGTTAGCTAGTAATTATGCTAA